TCATAGAAGCATACACATGCGTAATCAGACAGGTTTGAATTAGGAATACATTGTCCTTCTCCATTCTTTTCCTTAATGCATTGTTCTTTACAAGCAGATAAGTTGCAGCCACCATGATTCAAGTATTCTTGACATCTTGCTGCGTCCACCTTGGTCACAATAGCGTTGACTGCATATTCCACATAAAGAAAATACATTTGTATAAATATCATGGTATGAAGTCTTTTAAATCTAAAAAAAAAAAAAAGAACATCCTCTATGTGCTGTGAAATAAATGTTAATGTTAATAAAAATAAGATGCATATTGGGGCTCAGAAATCGTAGAATGATTTGGCCATTGTTACTCGACGAAAGAAAGAAAAAGAAAAACTATCCGAAGGTAATCTAATAAAATTTAAGAACAAATAAAGAGAGATAATACCGGAGGCGAAGATAGTGAGCACCAAAAGGAAGGAGACGAGGGAAATTTTTGCCATCCTTCAATATGAATGATATTTACTTTTGTTGAGTAAACGACCTCAATTAAGTCATATATATATATATCTAGTTACACGGGCCATGAACAATCATTTGAATATATTATATCCTTGCATTCTTCTTTTGAAAGATATAGTCTTTATTGCATTTGTATGGTTGCAGAGAGCATGAACAATCATTTAAATAGTTTATTTCTTTCCATTCAATCATTTAAATAGTTTATTTCTTTCCATTCAATCATTTAAATAGTTTATTTCTTTCCATTCAATCATTTAAATAGTTTATTTCTTTCCATTCAATAAAAGATACAGTATTTATAGCATATTCTAATTTTTTTTACTGATTATGTATTATCTACGACCATACATATTTTTGGCTAATGTGTGACCCCAAAACCTATTTGAAAAATTAAATTGAGTTGAAATATACTACTTGGTTGATTTAAAAAATTTTGAGTTTCCATCCTATTTGGATATTATCATGAAATTTACACAAATTCGATCAAGTCAAATTAGGTACTTATTTAAAAAAATTAATCGAATTATCGATTGAATTTGTTGAGATTCGTTAAAATAATAAAAAATTTCCCTTTTTTGACTTACTTGGTGATTTTTTTTTCTTTTAGAATGTTGATGGTAAAAATTAAATGGAAGTTCTAAAGCATGAATTAAGAATGTTAGTCAAAGTTTTAAAATGGTTCAACATGGCAATACTTATTTAACCATAAAATATTTAAGGAATCTTATCATTAGTGAATTTTTTTTATTAATCGATAATCATAATCAAAATCTAATTAGATCTATAACATATCTTATTCAATTAAACATAGCCTAATACTATTACCACTAGTGTTTCTTTTCATAAGCTCATACGAAGAGTTTTGTCATTTATACAATGGGCTTTAGCTTATTTTAGGGTTAAGAATTAGAGAAGAGGTTGAAAATTTTTATGATGACGATGAAATTAATTAATGAATCTAAAACATAAATCTTATATGATAATAAGAGATATAAGAGATACTATGACTATGAATATAAACTACCAAAGGATTTAAAATTAAGTTAGAGGATTAGATGTTGAACCGTAGGATAGATCGACATGATAAGTAATCTATTGATAAATCGAAAGATGAATCGATGATTGAAAGGATCAGAAGATATATCATAGAGATATGGTCGATGTATCAAAAGGAATGGTCACATACGTTGTGTCATCGAAGCTTTGATTGAGTGCCTAATGCCTGAGTCGGGGTTTTGACCGAAGTTAATTGGGCCATAATTATGTTGCTAATAGTCTAAAATGTGACTTGATTAGGCTTTGTCGAGTGGAGGCTAACGTGGGATACAGTGTGCTGGTCAATGGGCCATATTGAGCTCTTACTAGGATATTGTGGTATTGCCTAGGCAATGAAGCACCTATATAGGTGATAGCGGTAGGACCTTTTGTCATACTTTCTTATCTTATAGAAGTCTTTATTCGGTTCATGCATGTTCTTGAGTTTGAGTAATGTCATGAATTTGTAAAAGGTGTGAACGAAATTGTAAAAGCTTAAAAATAAGGTTTAGTAAGCCTTGGAATCCCTTTTTATAAATTATTTAAAATAAAATAAAAAATATATATTAACGACATGTCCACCTACTTATAGAAATTGTTAATGAATTAAAAACTGTAAACAAAAATAACTAATATTAGATTAGTGAGTCAAATTCTTAGGAAACCTATGAGATGACTTACAAAATTTATATAAAATATATAAAATAAAGGTTTATATATTTTTTTTTGAAGAATTCATAGAAACCTATGAGATGACTTACAAAATTTATTCAAAAATGACATTGCCTTCTTAGAAGAATGTTCAAACGGGACAAGTTTGAGAAATAACCCTTCTTACAAGAGTTCATACAGGAATGTTGAAACAAGGTAAGTTCTAATTGAGAAATAACCGTTCTTACAACAAGATTCAAAAGATATATGAAGAAAAATAATCCAATAAGAAAAAATGTCAAGACCAAAAATGAGCCAAATAAAATTTAATTACATATTATGAAGATAGAGAATAAATACTCTAAACTTAACCAAACATATTATTTTCTATAGATCTCACCAACGACAAAATATCCATATAGCTATTTGTAAATAATTGTAACTTATAGTTTGGTTTTTATTGTTGTTGTTATTCAATTCATATAAAACCATTTTAATATACCATTTGTTTCTCATGTTACCCCCTATAATAAACCATTAGAAATACTCTATAGAGACCCCCTATAATTATACCTTCAAATGCCAAGTTAAAGGAGACGCTCTGTAGTTCAAAAATTAAAAATAGAAAGAAAATAGAAAAAAACATTTTGCCTTTTCCCTTTCAAAGAACCAAAAGAGACATGAAATTTGGTGGAAAGAAAACACCCGCTTTTTCTAAATAGAAGAGTTAATTGTTTCCTTCACAAAATTGTTTGGCAGTCTTCACAAAAGGTTTCTAGTAACATATATTTTCCATTGGTCTCCGTTCGACCAACAATGTAAATTTGCTAGTACTATAAGAATTATAGAATCGGACTAAAAAAAGTTATAAACAAGAGATTGTCTCTTCTTATAGATATTTTTCCATCACGTAGAAGAGTAAATGTTCTTGGAAGTTACTGAAGCAAAACTATTTCGTAATGCTATGTCACAATTCATGCCTCTGAAAAGTTTTATCACGAAAATGTTGTGGAGTTTGACATCGAATCACAATCCTTTGATCCTTTTTAATAGTGTTTGATAATGTTCATATGTTATACCTCGATTACCCTTGTGATCCTTTTAAGATTTCCTACATAATCATGATCGTATATGACCAATTTGAGTCGCTTTTGGAACTCATTCTCCTCCGACCATGACTATGAGATTGGCCAATTTCATATATATCTGTCAACTTACAGCTATTCCATCGAACATTACATTGCTTATCGAGTAGGTTAGGTTTCCACAAGAAGGCTCATTACTGCCAAGTCAAATTCCACTCAATAATCCATGTTGCTTACCATTCAAGAGTAATAAATTATACATATTTTATATACATAAATATAATATTTACTTCCATATACAATAAAACTTGTAAACATGATGAAAACAAGTATATATAGTTTTGCACAACAAA